GGTAGGAACATGGCAAAGTTCATGCTTTCATTCATTTGTTTAGGTGTCCCATATGGAAAAGATATATATAAATCTTATAAAGTTTGTATCTGTCTTGTGTGAAACTTGAATGAAAAGCATACAAGAGTGAAAACAGATATAAGATCCCTTGAAAAATTATATAAATGAAACTTGTATGTTTTACAAGCATGTACTTACTAAAACAATATATGAAAGTGGCCACTTTCATTAGTGAATCATATGAGCCTTATTCACTATATGAAGTAGGCCAAATCTGATGCAAGTCTTTCATACTTTTTTTTCTATTTCTTGTCCGAATGGGATGGCCTCAAGTCAGTGGTGGAAGTTTGTGATTGGTAAAGATATTTATGTCATAAATATCATATATAAATGTGTTCTATACTGCAATGTTGTAATATAATTAAAGAAACTATTAGAAATGTCCTAATAACAGAAAATAAAACACCCTCCTTAAACACACACAAACTTTACACACAGTCGCAACTTCCCAGTAACCCACTGAGCACTATACCACTGAGCAGATTTACTAGATAATAACACAAGTTAATTAATAAGTCAGTAATTAACTTGTGTTATGGTGCTGGTGGTGATGACGCAGATGCTGCTTAGACAATCTTTTGTTAAAGAATTATTTTTAAAAGAACAAACTGTCATAGTATCCCAACCCTGTGCATCAGTTAAAAGTTGAACAGGTGGGTGAAGTGAACATTAAATGCGACAGCTGGGTGTGACTTCCACTTATTATGTAAATTTTTTTGAACCATCATTTTTTCCCCTCCTTCATACAGGGCTGAACCTCTGCTGACACAGATTAAAGCTGACCGAACTGTGGTGGTTTCCCCGGTGTTTGATAAAGTCAACTTTGATGATCTCAAGGTTACTACATATCATCCCAGTGCACACGCCTTCAACTGGGCTCTGTGGTGCATGTATGAGAGTTTTACACCCGAGTATTACAAACTTAATGACGGTTCACTGCCTGGCAAGTAAGTTCAAGTGAAATCAATGCTTAACAATATAACAGCCTTATTAACTCTATCATTATGATCTAATATTAATGTACAATAGTTAAAATAGAGATCTCTTTGACTTTAGGAGTCCATCTGTCATGGGGATCCTGGTTGCTGATAGAAAGTTTCTGGGGGAAATTGGAGTCCTTGATGAAGGAATGAAAGTGTATGGTGGAGAAAATGTTGAGCTGGGAATTCGTGTGAGTAAAGATCATAGAGTTATAAAATTCTCTTCCATAGTAATGATTTTAAAGAATAGTTGTGGAACAGTCATGAGTGATGAAATATGTATTTTTTAAGGTGCACTTTTTTTTCATGTAGGTATGGACATGTGGAGGCAGTGTTGAAGTTGTTCCATGTTCCAAGATCGCCCACATCGAGAGGGCCCACAAGCCCTACATGCCTGACCTGGGTCCTGCCATGAAGAGAAATGCCCTCAGAGTTGCAGAGATCTGGATGGATGAATACAAGCACAACGTTAACCTGGCTTGGAACATCCCATTTGAGGTGTTTTTGCATTGACACAAACAGCAAATTATGTTTTCATAATTTCATTTCATTCTCCTGTTCACAGAGTCATGAGGAGATATTAGCCTTTGAGTGTTCTTAGTGTGAATCGATTCACATCTTTTTCTTTGTTCCTGCAGAATCATGGAATTGACATAGGCGACATTTCAGAGAGGAAGAAACTCAGAGAAAGGTTGAACTGTAAACCTTTCAAATGGTACCTGGATAATGTGTATCCTAAGCTGGATCCCTGGGACGATCTCCTTGCATACGGAGGAGTAAGTTTACTTTTCTCTGATGCTTAGTATGTTTGGTACAGTCGAGTCCTGCAGGATGTGTGGGAATCAGTGTTTTCTCATGTTTTGTCTGTATCCATTTGTAATATGTATAATGTTCTCCTGATGACAGATGAAGAACCTTGATGCTGACATGTGCCTAGACCAAGGTCCAGTACCAGGTCACACACCGATTGCCTACATGTGCCACAACTTTGGACCTCAAGTAAGTGATTATAAATGGTGTATTTGTAAATTTGTAATTTAATTCAAAGAAATCAACTGAGTGTGACTGCATGATTTGGATTTAATTAAAAA